GGATTCCTGCCCCATCCCCAGGGGCTAGGGCGGGGCCCCAAAGGGAACATTTACCAATATTTTCAAATTCTTATCCATTGATGACATGACAAGTATTGTATTTCACTTAGTTTACATGCTGATTTCCACATCACATCTAAACAATAAAATAAAGCTACCAGTACCTATGATATAACTCAGGTGACCGCTAAGGCCCTTGGGCCTCTTGTATATAAATTGAACAAGATTACACTTTGGCCTGGACACTGGTTGAAATTCAAATAGTGTTTGGTTTGGATCCAAGCTAGTGTAGGAGGACTCTGTAATAGTCCCCTTTCCATTAACTACTTGTTCTTCACACAACATCTTCACATGTAAAGAGTCATGATAATGACCACATATAGCTGTCTAAGGTGAAAAGCTACTGAATAGAATTTGTTCAGATAAATCCTCTTCACTTACATTCACAGGGTTAATGTATCGACATGTCTAACAACTTCAGAACCATAATCAAGTGTGGAGTAGTATTTACAGATTGTTGTGTCAGGTCATTAGGTGGTGACAACAAATTTATTCTTCATACAGAATTGAACAAAATCATTATAGACTAAAAATAAATATCTTTGATTGGACGATTCACACTTATGAGCTGTTTGTTTTTACCTGTGTATTGGGTACTACAGGAGCTGACATTGCCAACATTTGTAACGAAGCTGCTCTCCATGCTGCCCGCCACGCAAACGACCACGTCACCATGGGAGATTTCTACTTCGCCATCGAGAGAATTGTTGCAGGTCTGTTACTAACACTTTAAAACATTACAACATTTATTTTGAAGCTTGCATATGAGACATATAATGCTGACAACAAATAACAGACAAAGGCTGACAACAAATAACAGACAAAGGCAGACAACAAATGACAGACAAAGGCTGACAACAAATAACAGTCAAAGGCTGACAACAAATAACCGACATAGGCTGACAACTAATAAAAGACAGGCTGCCAACAAATAACAGACAACACAGGACAACAAATAACAGACAAAGGCAGACAATAAATGACGGACAAAGGCAGACAACAAATAACAGACATAGGCAGACAACAAGTAACAGTCATAGGCTGACAACAAATAACAGACAAAGGCATACAACAAATAACAGACATAGGCAGACAACAAGTAACAGTCAAAGGCTGACAAAAAATAACAGACAAAGGCAGACAATAAATGACAGACAAAGGCAGACAACAAATAACAGACAAAGGTTGACAACAAATAACCGCCATAGGCAGACAACAAATAACAGACAAAGGCAGACGTAAAATAACAGACAGAGGCAGACAACAAATAACAGAAAAAGGCTGACAACAAATAACAGACAAAGGCATACAACAAATAACAGACATAGGCAGACAATAAATAACAGACAAAGGCAGACAATAAATAACAGTCAAAGGCTGACAACAAATAACCGACATAGGCTGACAACTAATAAAAGACAGGCTGCCAACAAATAACAGACAACACAGGACAACAAATAACAGACAAAGGCAGACAACAAGTAACAGTCAAAGGCTGACAAAAAATAACAGACAAAGGCAGACAATAAATAACAGACAAAGGCAGACAATAAATAACAGACAAAGGCAGATAATAAAAAACAGACAAAGGCTGACAACAAATAACAGACATAGGCAGACAACAAATAACAGACATTAACAGACAACAAATAACAGTCAAAGGCTGACAACAAATAACCGACATAGGCTGACAACTAATAAAAGACAGGCTGACAACAAATAACAGACAACACCAGACAACAAATAACAGACATAGGCAGAAAACAAGTAACAGTCAAAGGCTGACAACAAATAACAGACAAAGGCATACAACAAATAACAGACATAGGCAGACAACAAGTAACAGTCATAGGCTGACAACAAATAACAGACAAAGGCATACAACAAATAACAGACATAGGCAGACAACAAGTAACAGTCATAGGCTGACAACAAATAACAGACAAAGGCATACAACAAATAACAGACATAGGCAGACAACAAATAACAGTCAAAGGCTGACAACAAATAACCGACATAGGCTGACAACTAATAAAAGACAGGCTGCCAACAAATAACAGACAACACAGGACAACAAATAACAGACAAAGGCAGACGTAAAATAACAGACAGAGGCAGACAACAAATAACAGACAAAGGCAGACGTAAAATAACAGACAGAGGCAGACAACAAATAACAGAAAAAGGCTGACAACAAATGACAGACAAAGGCAGCCAACAAATAACAGACAAAGGTTGACAACAAATAACCGACATAGGCTGACAACTAATAAAAGACAGGCTGCCAACAAATAACAGACAACACAGGACAACAAATAACAGACAAAGGCAGACAATAAATGACTGACAAAGGCAGACAACAAATAACAGACAAAGGAAGACAACAAATAACAGACATAGGCAGAAAACAAGTAACAGTCAAAGGCTGACAACAAATAACAGACAAAGGCATACAACAAATAACAGACATAGGCAGACAATAAATAACAGACAAAGGCAGACAAGAAATAACAGACAAAGGCTGACAACAAATAACGGACAAAGGCAGACATAAAATAACAGACAAAGGCTGACAACAAATAACGGACAAAGGCAGACATAAAATAACAGACAAAGGCTGACAACAAAAAACAGACAAAGGCAGACAACAAATAACAGACATAGGCAGACAACAAGTAACAGTCAAAGGCTGACAACAAATAACAGACAAAGGCAGACAATAAATGACAGACAAAGGCAGACAACAAATAACAGACAAAGGCTGACAACAAATAACAGACAAAGGCAGACAACAAATGACAGACAAAGGCTCTGGATTTGATCGCAGTTTTGATCCCCAGTGAATGCACACTGTTCTCTTTCCTGTTTCAAATGGTGTCCGTAGCCCTCCCGTTGGTGACAGGGAGCTAGAACCTGGGTGGTGGTGTTTGAGGGCGAACACATTTAAAAAGGAGGGAGTAGTGGGGCAGATATTAATTGAACATAGGATTACAGTTGCCCACTAGCTTGGATTTAAGAAGGAATTTCCCTTTAGCTCAGTGGTAGAGCGTCCGACTAGGAACCAAGTGCTAGAAGTATGTGACTGCCACCTTTAATGGGACATTTTGATGTACTAATAAAGGTTACTTCCATTTTCAACATTTTCATAAAAATGGGATTTCGAATTGTAGTCAAACAGCAAGAAATTTGATTCATAAAAGTTTCATTTGTCACTGGAGTATAAGTAAAGTCATCTATTGAAAAATTCCTGACTTTAGTATAAGTTTGACACATTTAGAAAGGATTTGAATGCTAATGAAGTTTGAGTTATGATAGTTCAACTGTATGTAACGTCACGCTACCACAATTGGTACAGTTTAGGAAGTTTTTAGTGATATTTAAAAATTCAGATCTTGTGTTTGGAAAGATCCTTGATTTTTGACAAAGACCACCCATGGTGGTTCATTTTCAGAAAAAGTTTTGATTTTAAGTAATTTGTTTTTAGCTCACCTGGTCCGAAGGACTGGTGTCAGTTTATGCCATGGCGCGGCGTCCGACCGTCCATCGTCTGTCCATCAACAGTTCCTTTAAAACGCTACTTATAAGTCCTGAACGGCCCAGTAGATTTTGACTAAATTTTTTCTCCCCTTAGGCCAAGGGCATTTACATTTTTATATAATTGATGGGTGTTGCCCTCCTGGGGGCAGAGGGGTGGGGTCCAATAGGGAAATAGAGGTAAAACCTTTAAAATCCTTCCTCTACCGTAGGGATAAAGGGATTCTATCCAAATTTAGTCTATAGCATCCTCGGTCCAAGGGGACTAAATTTTGTTTAAATGGTTGGTGAAGCCACCTGGGGGCAGAGGAGTGGGGCCGAATAGTGGAAATAGAAGTAAACCTTTCTTCTACCATAGTGATTAAGGCCCAGTAGATTTTATCCAAATTTGGTCTAGAGCATCCTTGGGCAAAGGGGACTAAATTTTGTATAAACGGAAGGTGTGGCCCCTCTGGATGCGGGGCCAATAGGGGCATCAGAGGTTTAAATCTTTAAAATCCTTCTTCTTCTGAACCATTAGAGGGATTTTATGTAATAAGAACATAGCTCTTGGTGGCCTAAGGCGCCTGAGCGAAGCTCTTTAATGGTGACACATGCGTGCGTAAACAGAGTTGCTTCACCTTGCTACACATTGCCACATTGCTTTTTCGTCCAGAAGTAGACGTCCAGCGGGGAAACAGGAAGTGTATCCTTGAAGCAAAGACAATTGTGTTTCAATCCATACATGAACATCTTCATATAGTGAAAACAATCTTCATATTTTATTACTTGTTTATTGAGATAAATACTGATATATATTTTGAGCTTGAACTTCGTTCAGAGATTATCATACTATGACCTCACAAATATGTCACACACCATTGGCCTTCATCGGTTATTTTCAGAAGGATGAAAAATAACCGGAAAACCTTGGAACTGATGTCTGTTGCATTTATCTCTTCGTCGATGCTTCATGACTTTTTCATTTCAGTTTTTTGCCACAGACACAAAAAGCAAAAATGTGGATATTTTCTGAAGATCCTTTTTGTCATCAACCAGGTTCTGTCAAGGTTAAACTGAATCTTTATGATGTGTTAACATTTTTTTAAATTTTGTAGGTGCTGAGAAAAAAAGGAGTGTGATCACCCAGGAGGACCGAAAAGTAGTGGCTTACCATGAGGCTGGACACGCACTGGTGGGCTGGCTGCTCCAACATAGCGACGCCTTACTTCAGGTCAGACTCAGCAGCTCACTATAAACTGAGATTCAATTATGGTGTGGGTAAAAAACAGCAATATAGAATATATAGTTATAAATCATAAAAATGTTATTACTAACAATTAGTTATATAATATTTAAATGTTACTGGTAACAATTTGTTACTAGTTATATGTCATATCAATTTTACTAGTGAAAATTAGTGAGATATCATATAAATGTTACTGTTTACAATAAGTGACAATCATACAAATGTTATATATCATATAATTGTTACTAGTTGCAATTAGTGACAAATCATATAAATGTTACTAGTTAAAATTAGTTACATATCATATAAATGTTACTATTCATATTTAATATAAATGTTACTAGTTACAGTTAGTTACATATCATATAAATGTTACTAGTTACAATTTTTTGTAGGTTTCCATTGTTCCTAGAACCAATAATATACTTGGCTTTGCACAGCTGGCTCCTAAGGACAACTATCTCTACTCCAACCAACAGGTAAATGATAACTATCTCTACTCCAACCAACAGGTAAGTGACAACTATCTTTACTCCAATTGACAGGTAAATGATAACTATCTCACCTCCAACCAACAGGTAAGTGACAATTATCTCACCTCCAACCAACAGGTAAATGATAACTATCTCTACTCCGACCAACAGGTAAGTGACAACTATCTCACCTCAAACCAACAGGTAAGTGATAACTATCTGACTTTCAACCAACAGGTAAGTGTCAATTATCTCACCTCCAACCAACAGGTAAATGATAACTATCTCTACTCCAACCAACAGGTAAATGATAACTATCTTTACTCCAACCAACAGGTAAGTGACAACTATCTTCACTCCAACCAACAGGTAAATGACAACTATCTCCACTACAACCAACAGGTAAATGATAACTATCTCTACTCCGACCAACAGGTAAGTGACAACTATCTTTAAGTGACAATTATTTACCCTCTAACCAACAGGTAAGTGACAACTATCTTTAAGTGACAGTTATTTACCCTCTAACCAACAGGTAAGTGACAACTATTTAACCTCCAACCAACATGTAAGAGACAATTATTTCTTTAGACCAATAGGAAAGTAACAGGTAACAACTCCCTCTGTTCGAACAACAGGTAACAACTATCTATTTCAACAACAGGTGACAACTCCTTATTCCAACAACAGGTACCAAATTTCTCTATTCCAACAGCAGGTGACAACTCTCTATACCAACATTAGGTGACAAATATCTATTTCAACAACAGGTGACAACTCCTTATTCCAACAACAGGTACCAAATTTCTCTATTCCAACAGCAGGTGACAACTCTCTATACCAACATTAGGTGACAAATATCTATTTCAACAACAGGTGACAACTCCTTATTCCAACAACAGGTACCAAATTTCTCTATTCCAACAGCAGGTGACAACTCTCTATACCAACATTAGGTGACAAATATCTATTTCAACAACAGGTGACAACTCCTTATTCCAACAACAGGTACCAAATTTCTCTATTCCAACAGCAGGTGACAACTCTCTATACCAACATTAGGTGACAAATATCTATTTCAACAACAGGTGACAACTCCTTATTCCAACAACAGGTACCAAATTTCTCTATTCCAACAGCAGGTGACAACTCTCTATACCAACATTAGGTGACAAATATCTATTTCAACAACAGGTGACAACTAGCTATTCCAACAACAGGTGACAACCCTCTCTCTATAGTAGCAGAGTACAGTAGAAATGGCCTGATCCTAAAAATAAAGGACCAACAGGTAAATGATAACTATCTCTACTCCAACCAACAGGAAAGTGACAACTATCTTTACTCCAATTGACAGGAACGTGATAATCTCACCTCCAACCAACAGGTAAGTGGCAACTATCTTTAAGTGACAATTATTTACCCTCTAACCAACAGGTAAGTTATAACTATCTCACCTCCAACCGACAGGTAAGTGATAACTATCTCACCTCAAACCAACAGGTACGTGATAATCTCACCTCAAACCAACAGGTACGTGATAATCTCACCTCAAACTAACAGGTAAGTGACAACTATCTCGCCTCCAACCAACAGGTAAGTGACAACTATCTCACCTCCAACCAACAGGTAAGTGATAACTATCTCACATTCAACCAACAGGTAAGTGACAATTATCTCACCTCCAACCAACAGGTAAGTGATAACTATCTCACCTCCAACCAACAGGTAAGTGACAACTATCTCACCTCCAACCAACAGGTAAGTGACAACTATCTCACCTCAAACCAACAGGTAAGTGATAACTATCTCACCTCAAACCAACAGGTACGTGATAATCTCACCTCAAACTAACAGGTAAGTGACAACTATCTCGCCTCCAACCAACAGGTAAGTCACAACTATCTCACCTCCAACCAACAGGTAAGTGATAACTATCTCACATCCAACCAACAGGTAAGTGACAAATATCTTTAAGTGACAATTATTTACCCTCTAACCAACAGGTAAGTGACAACTATTTTCACTCCAACCAACAGGTAAATGACAACTATCTCCACTACAACCAACAGGTAAATGATAACTATCTCGCCTCCAACCAACAGGTAAGTGACAATTATCTCACCTCCAACCAACAGGTAAGTGACAACTATCTTCACTCCAACCAACAGGTAAATGACAACTATCTCCACTACAACCAACAGGTAAATGATAACTATCTCGCCTCCAACCAACAGGTAAGTGATAACTATCTCACCTCCAACCAACAGGTAAGTGATAACTATCTCACCTCCAACCAACAGGTAAATGATAACTATCTCACTTTCAACCAACAGGTAAGTGACAATTATCTCACCTCCAACCAACAGGTAAGTGATAACTATCTCACCTCAAACCAACAGGTAAGTGATAACTATCTCACCTCCAACCAACAGGTAAGTGACAACTATCTTTAAGTGACAATTATTTACCCTCTAACCAACAGGTAAGTGACAACTATCTCCACTCCAACCAAAAGGTAAATGACAACTATCTCCACTACAACCAACAGGTAAATGATAACTATCTCACCTCCAACTAACAGGTAAGTGACAACTATTTACCCTCCAACCAACATGTAAGTGACAATTATTTCTTTAGACCAATAGGTAAGTAACAGGTGACAACTGCCTCTGTTCAAACAACAGGTAACAACTATCTATTTCAACAACAGGTGACAACTCCTTATTCCAACAACAGGTACCAAATTTCTCTATTCCAACAGCAGGTGACAACTCTCTATACCAACATTAGGTGACAACTATCTATTTCAACAACAGGTGACAACTCTCTATTCCAACAACAGGTGACAACTATCTATTTCAACAACAGATGACAACTACTTCTATTTCAACAACAGGTGACAGTTTTTTCTTTTTCAACAACAGGTGACAACTCTCTATTTCAACAACAGGTGACAACTAGCTATTCCAACAACAGGTGACAACCCTCTCTCTATAGTAGCAGAGTACAGTAGAAATGGCCTGATCCTAAAAATAAAGGGCATGTCTCAGATAAACATGGATAGTTGATTCAACCTGCACAACACAACTACATATATATATATATATATCTATAACTACATTTTAAGTACATTTTGTTTAGAAGACTGAATAGTTTTTTTCAAAAACTGTTTTCCCCTGATTCGGGACCTTTGAAAACCATGGTTACCACATCAAAAAACACCAAAAAAATGCAAAAATCATGATTTTTAACCGATAATTGGACCCCCGCAAGTTGTATTTTTTTTCTTAAAACCTGTCTTCAATTAAATATCACCTACTCGGTAACAGATATACTCACGTTTTAGCATAGGTCATTCCGATGGATTTTTCACAATATTTACACATGTGCTGAGTACAAAAATAGACTACATGAAAAGCTAGCTTTTGTTGCGTAGACACAGGTTTGTAAATGCCCAAAACTATAGTCTCAAACCAAATTCGATTTTTAGCTCACCTGCCCAAAGGGCAAGTGAGCTTATGCCATGGCCCAGCGTCTGTCGTCCGTCCGTCAGCTAAACTTTTCCTTTAAAATGCTACTTGTCCTGAACAGCCTAGTGGATTTGGAATGAATTTGTTTTGGAGCATCCTTAGGCCAAGGGGACTCAATTTGGTATAAACGGTGGATGTGGCCCCTGGGGACAGATTTGCGGGGCCCAAAAGGAAAAATAGAGGCAAAAACCTTTGAAATCCTTCTTCTACTGTAGATAAAGTGATTTTATGCTTATTTAGTCTGGAGCATCCTTTGGCAAAGGGGACTCGATTTTGTATAAATGGTGGGTGTGGCCTCCCCTGGGGGCAGAGAAATGGGGCCCAATAGAGGAAATAGAGGTAAAACCTTTAAATCCTTCTTTTACTGTAGGGATAAAGAGATTTCATCCTAATTTGGTCTGAAGCATGCTTGGGCCAAGGGACTCAGTTTTGTAGAAATAATGGATTGGACCCCCTTTGGGCAGAGTTTCCAATAGGAGAAATAGAGGTTAAAACCTTAAAAAATCCTTTTCTACCATAGGAATTGAGGGATTTTATCCAAATTTAACCTGGAGCATCCTTGGGCAAAGGGGACTAAATTTTGTATAAACGGTGGGTTTGGACCCCCTTGGAGCTGAGAGTTGCGGGGCCCAATCAGGAAATTAGAGGTTTAAATCTTTAAAATCTTTCTTCCTTCCACCATTGGAGGGATTTTATGTAATAAGAATAATTTCCCATGGTTGCTTTTTTATCCAGGTGAGCGATACAGGCCCTCTGGGCCTCATGTCTTTTTTTACTTTATGAAGCCCACATAGTCCACTTCATCATGTTTATGCCAATTTTAGGGCTGATTTTTTTTCAAATTTTGAAACATGAAATATTACAGGGGTAAAACATCACAATGGCCACCGTACGCTGCTACCTATTCAAACAACAAGTGACAACTATCTCTATTCCAATATCAGGTGACAACTATCTCTATTTCAACAACAGTTGACAGCTCTATCTATTTCATCAACAAGTGACATCTCTTTTTACTCCAACAACAGGTGACAACAGTCTCTATTTCAACAACAAGAGAAAATATCTCTCTGTTTCAACAACAGGTGACAACAGTCTCTTTTCCAACAACAGGTGTCAACTANATATAACTCAGGTGACCGCTAAGGCCCTTGGGCCTCTTGTTTCTTTGAGAAAATCTTTTGTGCACAAAAAAAGTTCATCTGATAAATATTTGTATTTTTAAGTGCATATAAAAAACTTATTTACAGACTTATTCCATTCAGACAGTAGTTTATTCCATTCAGACAGTAGCTTTCTTCTGATTTCAGCTGTTTGACAAAATGTGTATGATGCTTGGTGGACGAGCTGCAGAAAGCATCACCTTCAACCATGTCACCTCAGGTATTACACACTGGACCACAATACAGGGGGAGGGTAATACAAACATTTATCACCTTCAACCATGTCACCTCAGGTATTACACACTGGACCACTTTACAGGGGGAGGGTAATACAAACATTTATCACCTTCAACCATGTCACCTCAGGTATTACACACTGGACCAC